TGAAAGACGTTTTGGCGTCTGCATGATGGTGAATGGTTCATGGATCAAGGTGACATGTTTGTGCTCAGCAGCAAGGTCATGATGGTATGACGGTTCAGGGAGCCGCATGCTTTAAATGTCATCATTAGGGATGAGCCGTGTGAAAAAATGCCACGTGGTGTATTGGTCAGCAAGATCAAGATCGTGCAATCGTGCTCAATAAATGCACCTCAAAAATAAAGTATTTGGATTTTGAGTATTAGTTTCGCTTCTTCAAGGTCGGAACTCGACCAAAGGATTCAGACCAAGACCTCAGAAGCGAGGGGGCAATGTTTGGGCCCAAAATATTAGTTTGGGCCGAGTGTAGAGTCATTATCGGCCCATGAGGCCTTACGACAAGGTTACCATGAAGCGTTTAGTTCGTGGGCTTTCAAACCTAGATCAGTTAAGCCATACTGCAAGATGAGTCGAATCCTGGTGCAATAAGGAGTCTCGGCGAGATTAATAACCCGTAAGTGAATCTGGCTCGATGAAATGATAGGTTCAAAATCCTGATGGAAGTAGGAGTACTCGAGGGGATGTTTGATTAGAAGAAGAAATCCTAATCGGAGTAGGTTGTTAACTCGGCCTAGAAGGTACATTACTACTATAAATACAAGGTGCTGTGCAGCGTGAGAGGTCTCCTCCAATTCAACACACAACTGCCCTGCGTAAACTCTCTCAACAACTTTGAGATTTTTTATTTTCTCTTTTCGCTGATACATCTTCCGTTGGCATCAACAGCACTGTGAAAGAAACCGGTGATATCTTCAGTCGGCATAGATCGCTATGTCGCCGTAGAATCAGCCGATCTCGCAACATCTTCCATTGGCATCAACAGCACTGCGGTGAGGACGGCTGGTTACCTATCCAAGTCTCGGTCGAGAAGGGTTTCTGAATCCTTATTGATTGAGGTCATCTCATTAGCCTTCTCAGCGAAGTGAGGTGTTACAGCTTACTGAGCTCGGTGCATTGCACGCCGAGTTATTTTATGATTGGATACTCTCAAGTGGGATTTAGAGTTCAGCATTCAGATGGCCGAACCACATTCACTATAAAGACTTATATCCGCTTTGAGTATTTGTGCCCTTACACTTTGGTGTCGATTCGGCGTGAGTTTACTTTGACGAATACCATCACTGTGACCGAATCAGACGGCGACGATTCATGAACTTCGTAAGAATAGTAGCCTTGTCTTCAGGTTCGAGAACCCAAGAAGCAAAGACGTGTTCCTTTCTCGACCGCAATCGCAAGATGCAGAAGTCAACCGTGCACCCAACGCAACATCAACAAATTTACTCCTCGATCGACGAGTTGGCACGCCCCGCATTCATCGAAGGACGTAGTTAGCTTATAGATTACTCGGCCTACGCGCAACGTAGGCTTGGTAGTTTTTAGGGTCAATAGATATATTCCGTCAGTGGCGGCAAACCCATATCTAAATCTTCTAATCGGGCCATGAAAAACAGTGAACGAGCTTTAAGGCCTGGCCACTAAGTGTTTCATATGGAAGACATTAAGGGAGGCAAGTATCAAAAGCCTAACTGGGATCTAATATGTTTCTACCCTGAGGAAGAAAGAGGTATCATCTACCCTCACAATGACCCACTGATCATGGAAGCTCACATAGCCAACTTTGAAGTACGACGAATCTTGGTAGACATGGGGGCTTTGATCAATATCATGTTTGTTGAAGCTTTCAGGGCACTAAATGTAGCTGAACACTTGCTCGATTGCTCGATTTCTCCTCTGATAAGCTTCTCTAGTGATATCGTGCAACCTTTAGGGGGCATACACTTACCTTTCACCATTGGTACAGGCCCTTACATAGCTACCATTACCATTAACTTCCTAGTGGTTGATTGTCCAACGGCATATAATGTCATCTTTGGACGCACAGGCATTAATGATCTCAAGGCTATGGTATCCACAAATATGTTGTTGATGAAATTTCCAACCCCCTATGGCAATGGTTACATCAGAGGAGATCAACTTAGTGCACAGTCATGTTACAACACTTCGGTCAAGCAACAACACCTGTTTATGCCCAAGGAAACCCTTTCTATACATAACCAAGTTATAAAGACCAGCCCGGACGAAACCAACTTGGATCTTCAAGGTGGCAATAGTCAACCCAACGATCCTTGAGATGACTCTTTCACCCAGCAATCACAACCCGCTGAAGAGTTGAAGAAGGTTTTTATCTTAAAAGATTATCCAGATCGCATGGTGAAGATTGGCACCACTTTGTCACTACCTATTTGGTTGGCATTGATCTCTTTTTTGCAAGAGAACACTAAGGTCTTCGCCTGATCATACGAGGACATGCCAGGTATCTTTCTCGATATCATCTGTCATCGCTTAATTATTGACCCCAAGACCAAGCCAGTGAGACAGAAGTGAAGATCTTATGATGTTGAACGGTACGAGGCAATGAAGGTAGAAGTTGAAAAACTCAAAGGCAAAGGCTTCGTCTGCAAAGTCAATTATCCAACATGGGTAGCAAATGTTGTCCTTGTTAAGAAGAATCTGACCAAGGAAAGTCTCCTGCTCCAAAAGGTCTTGTGGATAATGTGTGTCGATTACACCGACCTAAACAAAGGATGCCGGAAGGATAACTTTCATTTTCCTCTCATAGACAGACTTATATACTCTACGATAGGGTGTGAACTCCTGAGCTTCATTGATGCTTACTTAGGATACAACCAAATCCTAATGAATCCTCCGGACTAAGAACACACAGCCTTCACTACTGACAGGGACTATAATGCTATAAAGTCATGCCCTTCAGCCTAAAGAATGCAGGAGCGACTTATCAAAGACTGATCAATTCAATGTTCGCCGAACAGATTGGGAAGAGCATGGAAGTTTACGTTGATGATATGCTAGTCAAGAGCAAACATGCTGACCAACACATCACCAACCTATCTGAAACTTTCACCATTCTGAAGAGGTATCAAATGAGGTTGAACCCCAACAAATGTGCCTTCGGCGTAGGCTCTGGCAAATTCTTAGACTTCATGATAAGCCAACGAGATATTGAAGCTAATCCCAAGAAGATCGAAGCAATCCTCAACATAAAGGAACCGGTAACCTCAAAAAACATTGAGAGCCTTACTGGCAAGGTGGCAGCCTTAACTAGGTTCATCTCTAAGGTCACAGACAGATGTGCTCCTTTCTTCAAAGCACTTAAGGGAAGTAGGAAGTACATTACATGGACTGATGAATATGCCGAGGCATTCAAGAACCTCAAGGACTACATGAGTAAAGCCCCTCTACTTTCTAAACCTGAGGTTGGTGACACTCTCATTATCTATCTGTCGGTATCGGCTTCAGCAGTAAGTTCTGTTCTCATTCAAATGATGGTAATTTCAAACGGCCTATCTATTACGCTAGTAATGCCTTACAAGATGCGGAGACACGATACTCCAACATTGAGAAATTGGCTTTAGCATTGGTCATGTCTGCTCGACTTTGTCCTTATTTCCAAGCACACTCTATCATCGTGTTTACCAATCATCCTCTTCAACAGATACTCCAAAGTCCTAACACTTCGGGGTGAATGATCAAATGGGCGATAGCATTAGGTGAGTTTGACATCTCCTACCAACCAAAGCCAGCTGAGAAGGGCCAAGCAGTAGTAGACTTCATCGCCGACTTCACATATCATGTTGACATTATTTCTACGCCTAAAGAAGTGGTTTCATTACCCTTGGAAACTCAGAAAATAGAACCAACAACCCCATCATGAAGTCTATATGTTGATGGCTCGTCCAACCAACAGGGTTGTGGAGCAGGACTAGTCCTTACGACCTCTGACAAAATGGTGATGGAGTATGCTCTTCGTTTCAAATTCAAGGCGTCGAACAATGAGGTCGAATATGAAGCCTTCCTAGCAGGCTTAAGTTTGGACAAACACCTTGGGGTTAAACGAATTGATATCTTCAGTGATTTCCAATTGGTGGTTAACCAGGTCATCAACAACTTTGACGCTAAGGATAGCTTCATGGGAGCATATCTGGCACAAACACAATTGTTGCTCAAGCACTTCCACTACCAGATCACCCAAATTCCTCGAGCGGCAAACAATTATGCAGATGCTTTGGCTCGCCTAGCCTCAGCGGTGGAAGACAAGATTGGGAGAAAAATTCAGATCGAATTGTTGGCAGCACTAAACACCATAGCTGCGGAAGTGTGCAAATTACAACAGAGGGATAGTTGGATTACCCCGATTTATAGATTCCTTGCTCATGGCACCTTTCCAAATGACAAAGTCCAAGCTAAGCAGATTCGATACAAGTCTACCCGTTACTTGATCATTAACGACCAACTCTACAAGCAGGGTTTTAACCTACCATACCTAAAATGCCTTACGCCTGCGGAGGCAGAAATTATCTTTCAGGAAATACATGAATGAGTCTACGGAAATCATGCTAGATCTCGATCCCTAGTACACATGGCTTTTCGCCAAGGATATTACTAGCCAACACTCCACCAAGATGCCATCAAAGTATCTCGCTCATGTGATAAGTGTCAACGCTACGCAACTATTCATCACTCCCCTCTCGAGCCACTCACTCTTATGATCAGCACTTGGCCCTTCGCCTAATGGGGACTTGATTTAATTGGCCCATTGCCTACAGGGAAGGGCAAGGTCGGCTATGCAATCGTTGCAGCTAACTACTTCACAAAGTGAGCTGAAGTAGAACCCTTGGTAACCATTACTGAGGCAAACAACAAACTAGTACATCCAGAGTACATGGCACATGCCACACAAACAACAAACTAGTACATCCAGAGTACATGGCACGTGCCACATAAACAACAAACTAGTACATCCAGAGTACGTGGCACATGCCACACAAACAACAAACTAGTACATCCAGAGTACATGGCACGTGCCACATAAACAACAAACTAGTACATCTAGAGTACGTGGCACATGCCACACAAACAACAAACTAGTACATCCAGAGTACATGGCACGTGCCACATAAACAACAAACTAGTACATCCAGAGTACATGGCACATGCCACATACCACACAAACAACAAACTCGTACATCCATAGTACATGCAGAAAAACAGGGCACTACGAGTCATCCTCATCTAAGGCCGAACCCCTGACAATATCACTCTGCGTTTTAACCCCATCACCATCACCACCTTTCTCAGCATCTCCAGGACCATCTTCACTCTCCTGAGATTGCACATCGATACTAGCCTCATTATCAGAGTCATCATCACTACTAGGATCAACGGCGAGGACGAAGGCTTCACCTTTTTATCGGTACTTATCCATCTCATCACGGTACTTTCGGATAATGCTTCCATTATCGTAACGCATAAGGACGGCCATCCATTTTCTTTTCTCAAAATTAGCCGCCCGGATGCAGTGAGGTATAAAGGCATCGTGAAAGGCCTGGAAACTTAAGAACTCCTGCACGGCAGCGTCCATCTCAGTTGGGATACCCCTATTCAGCCCAGAAACCTCAACCAATGCACTATCCAACTCCCATTTAACCTTGGAAACATCAAGGATGGTTGTCTCCAACTGTTTTTTTTTGTCGCTTCCAATTGTTTCTTGAGCCTCACGTTGTCACCATTCTGCCTCTTCAAATTCTCAAAGTTTTGATCCTTAAGAGGGATGGTATCAGCCAAAGCTTTGCTCGCTTTTCTGGCGTCATTCACAAGCTGCTTATTCTCTTTAAACTTTGCCTTGTACCGCTCGACCTCTCGTAATCTGTCATCGTACTCGATCAAAACCTACATGACAAGATGATCGTCACTACTAGGAAAAAGATGTGAGAAAGTAAAGAAATAACAGAGTAACACTTACATAAGAAGATAGCCTCATTATCCGGTCACGATCTGATTCATTCTCATCTAGCGGCTCGCCAAGCTCATCAACAGTGGATCGACGTCCTGCCATGCAATTATTGACATACCTAAAACTACTTGGCTGCATGGTAACTTTCAAGTCTTTCCAATGGATGCTGCCAACCTATTCCTTGTACTTTATCTTACGGCTGGAGCTAGAGTCACCTTCTTGGTCAGTAGACTTCATGGTTGGAGGAAAGATAGGGTTGATGGTAGGAAGATGAGGCAGCAGTCATCTCTCCTCCTCTGCAACTATGGCAGCAGCACACCCGATGGCCTTAGCTTCAGCCTTCTTTGAGGAAGCAATCTTAAGAACCTCCTCTTGAGACTTAGGTTTAGGGGCTGGCCTCACCTAGTGCTTACGAGCTCTCTTGTGAAACAAAATGTCGTCTACGGGAACTAACATGGGTGTTTTCCCTTTCTTGGCGCTAATCTCCCCTTTCTTGCCTACTTTCTCCTCTGAACAAGAAAAATCAAAGTAAGGAATGCAACTTTGTAAAAGAAAGAGGCGGCGAAATGAAAGATACAACTTACTTGCTCGTCTCTGGCACTCCGACACTAGGGGTTGGAAACCGTACTTTCGAAATAAGGGTCGTAGCTTGCCCAAATGTCTATCATCTTTTGGCACCCCCTCAACACCTTCTCTACGTCAGCTAGCTCCCATCCGAACAGCTTGAAGGTCCCTCGCGTCACTGCACAAAGAAAAATGTTAGAAGCAAGAGAAAGTCACAACAAATAACAAATAATGCAAACAATGGATACATTACTACCTACAGTTTGGAAGTGAGTAGGAACACGTCGCTCAGGCATGACACCCTTAGCATACTCCCAATCATTATAAAGAAGGCACCAACGGTTTTTCCAAGTGCAGTACACCTTTTTCTTACCAAAGACAATATGTTATCTTTCACTCCGACATGCACACTGGGCATACCCAGTGCATGCTTTCACCGGGTGCATCTTATAGCACTAGCGCCACTGATGAAAAAAAGGTTCACCTAACCCACATTCCATCCAAATAATATAAAATCTTATCAAGGTATTCCAAAAACCAGGGTAGAGTTGCCCATGCGCATATCCAATGAAATACATCATCCATTGCAACCACGGGTGCAAATGCAGCTTCACCCTTAAAGTCAACAATATATGGGTATAGAATATAACATGACCCTTGGGCAGTTCAAAGGACAATTATTCATGATGCACCAAACACATTCCTACACTACAGGGGATACTACATGACTGCCTTAAGGCCTCAAGTTGGTTTTCGCTATCTAACAAGTTTTGCACTAAATGGTCTACTGTGAACTTAGAGTGAAATATGGGTATGGCGTCACAAACAACCCCCTCACCCACTGACATGAAAGAGGAAGAACCAATATTGGCTAAGGCTTGACAATTGCGAAGATCACCAAATCTCGAATTTTTTGTACAAGACTCCAACATTGCAAGCTCAAACCTAGAGTTAGAGTTAGGGGAGCCCTGATCACTAGGACTTCGAGGCTCTGACATCTACAACAAACAGAAACAAACTCTATCACCACATGAAAGATTGAAACATAAGGAAATTCCTAGGGCATGGAGAAAAGCTCAAGTAGTTCATTATGTTCTCAACCAAATACATGAACACTCAAACAATTCAACAAGAAAGAAAACATGTGATCTAGTGGAAAAGACTACCAACCTGAAGATGGTGCAAAGCAATGCCGGAATCCCTTTCAACTATAAAAGTACTATGTCTCCAAAAATCACTACAAAATGAGCAAATGAAGACAATGAAAAAAGTAGAAACTTATCATTCTTATCGGGTTCAACATGGCCAAAGAAATTCAAAATTCAAAATTCAAACCATGAGAAAACCCCACATGGAAAGTCTTCAAACTTCCACATAAGCTAGGGAGTTTTAAAATTTCAAACTTACAGCACCCTCTCCCCCCCTAAAAAAAAAAGTGGGGAGAAGGTGAACACATCAGCTTTATCAAATAAGTTCAACCACAATTCTCAAAAGCTTTACACACTCTTGATCAAGACAATGTGAAGCAAAACCAATTTATGGTGCCCATAAAAGCTTCATCAAAAAAGTTCAACCACAATTCTCAAAAGCTTCACACATTCTTGATCAAGACAGTGTGAAGCAAAACCAATTTATGGTGCCAACAAGAGCTTCATCAAAGGAGTTCAACCACAATTCTCAAAAGCTTCACACACTCTTGATGAAGACAGTGTGAAGCAAAACCAATTCATGGTGCCAACAAGAGCTTCATCAATGGAGGGCAACCACAATTCTCAAAAGTTTCACACACTCTTGCTCAAGACAGTGTGAAGTAAAACCAATTTATGGTGCCAACAAGAGCTTCATCAATGGAGGGCAACTACAATTCTCAAAAGCTTTACACACTCTTGATCAAGACAGTGTGAAGCAAAACCAATTTATTGTGCCAACAAAAGCTTCACCAATAGAGGGCAACTACAATTCTCAAAAACTTCACACACTCTTGATCAAGACAGTGTGAAGCGAAACTAATTTATAGTGCCAACAAAAGCTTCATCAATGGAGGACAACTACAATTCTCAAAAGCTTCACATACTCTTGATCAAGACAGTGTGAAGCAAAACCAATTTATAGTTCCAACAAAAGCTTCAACACCAAAGCTTCACCTACAAAGTTTTAACACAAAAGCTTCACCTACAAAGCTTCAACACCAAAGCTTCACCTACAAAGCTTCAACTCCAAAACTTCACTTACAAAGCTTCAACACAAAAATTTTACCTACAAAGCTTTAACACTAAAGCTTCACCTACAAAGCTTCAACACAAAAGCTTCAACTCCAAAGCTTCACTTACAAAAGCTTCAACTCTAAAGCTTCAACTCCAAAGCTTCACCTACAAAGCTTCAACACAAAAGCTTTAGCTACAAAGCTTTACCTCCAAAGCTTCACCTACAAAGCTTCAACTCCAAAGTTTCACCTCCAAAGCTTCACCTACAAAGCTTCAACACAAAAGCTTCACCTACAAAAGCTTCACACACTCTTGATCAAGATAGTGTGAAGCAAAATCAATTCATGGTACTGATGTGAGAATTACTTGACACACAAATTAAACCCTATTGATGACAATTGTAGTAATGATGCAAGTAGGGATCGTTCTAGACCGGGGATTAACTAGGGATGCTAATCAACAAATATAAGACTCAAGAATATAAGAAGAAACTTAAAAACACAAAAGTAGGTTTTAAAACACTAAACTAGACTCAAAGAGTTCAAAACACTTTAAGGCACAAACTAAACAAACTTAAACACACTTCGATACAAGAAAGTAAATGGGAGGTATTGGTTTGGATGAGATTGAGATAACAACAAAAAGTAAAACTAAATAGATGGTTGATGGATTAGCTAGAGATCCATTCTTCACACATGACACACTTGTACATGAATTGATTTCCAATTGCTTTTCAATAGATTATGAAACTCAACACCCCAGATTAACCGTGATGCACTAATTAATTCTCAGATTTTCCTTGATTTATTGAATTGGATGAATGCATACGACAATCCAAATTATTCTCCAAAAGTCCTCTACATGAATGCATAATAGAGATACAATTAAAGATCACTACGTTCTATGAAAATCATAAGTGTTAACGAGGCATTCGTAACTATGAATGCATGATACGTTTGCCAAGAATTCAATTAACGCGATTGTGACTAGCAACCTTCACTACCAATGAATATAAACTTGTAACGATTAGGTGAAACTCATTTATATCCTAGCATCAAATTCATGCATGAAAACTAAGTATGCATCCTTAATCAACATACAAGAATTAGTTTTGAAGAAAGTAGTTAATTGAATTGCATTCACAACTTATTAAATCACAATTGGAAGAAAATCAATTCATATCTCAAACATGTTCATGGCTTCGAACTTCACCCTAGCTAAGTAAGGGTTTAGTTCCTCATACTTGCAATTAAACAAAAACAATTGATATTAAACATAGAGAAACAAAGTAGAAGACACCTAGAATGCTCCAACAACTCCAATGGAATGGCTAGCACAACTCCAAGCACTCCTCCTTCTTTGCAAGCCTTGGAACTAATGGAAATGTGTATGAATGGCTGTGTGTCATCCTTGAAGGCTGAATGGTGCTTATATAGAGGTTGGAAATGTCAAGCAATTGCAAGGTAATGGACAAGGGAAAAAAAAACCCACGGCAATGAAGGAAGATGCTGCCAGCTTTTTGCCTTGTGTGTGTGTGCTGTCTTTGTGCTCTTTCCACCTAGAAATAATCATGCCAAAGCCACCCAAAGCTATAAGTGGGAGACCAACAAGAAATCCACTTCATAGTGGTCCAATTTCCTTGCTTTTCTGCTGTCCATTCACTCCCCTTGTTTTATTTCTTTTCTTTTGTTTGCTTTCAATTCCAATCTGCAAGTTGTCGTCAGCTAGACCTTCCCTTACTCAAATGCCTATAACTTCTTCTAGAAAAATGATATTAACAATCCGCGAAATGTTCTAGAAAATAGACATCTGTAGCTTTCCAAGCATATAAGGCTCATTCTCTAATTCATTCTGAGCTGTTCGAAATTTGCTCCCAAAGTCAGCTGATCAAAGTTGTAGAAATCTGCCAACTCCATTCCATTGCCGTGTGTGTGTGTTTGTGTTGTCATCATCACTTCCCACTCTTCCATGCTTTAATTTCTGATTCCTTGCTGCCCATGTGGTGTGTGTGTTGCTGTTTTCTTTCCTTCTTGCTGCCCATGTGGTGTTTATACTTGCACATGCATGTTCTTCATCCATTTAGCTAGCAATAAACACATTTTCTGCCATCACATGGCAGCTATGATGTTTGAAGTTGTAGGCCAACACTTTGCACACACACATGTAGATTTCTAGCCCATTGAATCATCAAATTCGTCCATCCTCATGTCTCCATGTTTGCACCATCCAATCTTGGCCCAAAAATGCTCCAAAGTGCTCCAAAATGCATCTTCTTGCATCCTTGGCCCATAGAACCTACAAACACACAAAAATGGCTTAAACTACTAACATAACTAAGAACTAAGAACATAAATGCACGAAAACAAACATACTAAGTCGCATAAATATGCTCCTATCAAATTCCCCCACACTTTAGCTTTTGCTTGTCCTCGAGCAAAACAAAGAAACAAAACATAAGAACAAAACAAAACCTAAACCTTCCAACATTTACCTTAGGGATTTTCAATGCAACATGACATGCAAAAGATCATCATAACCACATATTTTGGCCTTCCCTACCCTTGAGCACATACTTAATCATAGTCACCATATACTAGTTCACATATAACCAATTAAAACGATGTTTTGAATGTAGTAACATGCCTTAGAGAATTTGCTCAATTCCTTACAAGATACACTCTTATTTTCACTCTGAATTTCTGACTACACACCCTACACTAGGTGTATGTGAGAAGATTGATGTAAACATGAAAACGAACACTCACATATCTTTAAAGCAAAGAAAGCAATTTCTGGAGTTATTAAGCATGTATAGATATGATCTCATGACTGGAATGCTACTACTTAGATGCGAGAACCAGGGATACCATATGCTCGTACCAATCCCAAACTCCACATATTGAAACACATAACACTCAAGATTGAAGTTAAGGGTTGTAACGGGGTTAGGGGTGATTGGCTAACAATGAAAGGTAAGGAAACAAACGTTTTTTAAAGCATAATAAGCAAATTAATGAAATTGATGCTTAGAATTCCTTTTGAATGCAGCAACTAACTTTAAACACAATGGGGTTATTCATTCAACTTTTTTAGGGCCGATTTCAACTTTTTGGACCCTTTCTACAACAAACAACACTTGTGAGCATTTCCTCACTTATTTCAAACTCTTTTTTTTTTTTTTTTTTTTTTTTTAACCCGTGCCTTATTACTTTCTTTTGGCACACTAAACACAAAACTCTCATTCCCCCACACTTGTTTTCTGCATAAGGACAATCAAAAGGAATTCATTTTAAGTCATGCTTCATTATGCTTTAAAAACAAGGGTAAGGATAGTCCTAATCTAGGCTAGGTAAGGGAAATGTGGTTTAACAAAGAAAACAGGCTAAACAAGGCTCAACGGGGTTAAACTTAAACAAATATGCACGGGATAAGCTTTTTGGCTCTAGTTCACTACAGAACTTCATCTTGAATATGTGTTATGCAAATCAATGTCATGCTTTGAATGGAACGGGCATAAGTTCTAGTATTTGGAACTAAATGATGAAACGCCTTCTAAGTAGCAACCAGGCAAAGAATGATGAGATCATGCAACGACTTTAGAAAACAAAAATGCACAGATTAATAACTCTCCAAAGAACGTATTAGGCTCAAGTCTCTCAAGGTTGTAGTGTTAGTTTGAGTTCCTTCCTTCAAGCATGTTACAAAAACTGATTTTTTTTTTTTTTTTTTTTTTTGTGATTACATGTGAATTCGTAAACTATAACTATAACCAAGCATAAATCAAGAGCATATCAAACTTCCATCCATGTTTATAACTTTCTTTAACAGTCATGCAATTAAAAACCAAATCCTCATTATTTGTGTTGGAAGGTACCCTAAGACACAAACAAACACACAAAAACAACTCTTTTTGGCTTTTTCAACACCATTTTTTTTTTTTTTTTTTTATTTTTTTTATTTTTTTATATTTTTGTCAAAATTTCGGATTTTTATGTCAAAACATACTAACATGCTTAAAAACACACTAAAAACACTTAAAACAGCAAGAAACAACATTGTAAGTGATAGGTGAATAAAATCCCACGAAAATCATGCAACAGCAACTTGTTTATATTTTTTTATATTTTTGTCAAATTTTCGGATTTTTATGTCAAAACATACTAACATGCTTAAAAACACACTAAAAACACTTAAAACAGCAAGAAACAACATTGTAAGTGATAGGTGAATA